TTTTTTAGCATTTTTCCAAATTTGATTTTTTGCAAAATAAACAATGCGAAAATTGTCCCATTAATTAATTTTGATACATTTTTATTATTTTCATTTTTAGTACACTAAAAAACAATTTTACAAAAGAAAAAAGGATATATAGACATATTTCATGTATAATTATATATGTTTATGAATATTTATGCATGTTATGTTTATACATATATATTATATATATATATATGTATATAAATTTCTAAGTTAAACTGAATTTAAGATCAATTACATTTTGTCTTTAAACAATATTCTCAGATGTCATAAATGCACGTAGAGATTAATCGATCAATTATAAACAGAATCGTAATATGTTCTCGTAAAATTTATAAAAATTTAGGACTGATATTGTAATTCTATTCGGTATGCGTATGTATCACAAGATATACAAACATTCATAAATATTTCCGATTTCTCGTAAATTTTACTGGCAAGAAGCTATCAGTAAAAATATTGCATAAAGTTTTGTAAGCACTTGTAAGTTCTTACAAATCTTACGAGAATATGTTGCAAGTCTTATGATTCTGCTTAGAATTGACTCGTTAATTTGCAAAATTATATCGATCATAACAATTTATATATACATATACAGGATGTCCTGTAAGTTTTTACCAATCGCTTTTGTGTACATAGAATGGATTAAACCATAGGTTCCCAACGTGAGTGTCATCACTCCTCGATAAGCGCTCTAGGAGGGCATTGCTAGCATTTTTTGAAAGCAGCAGGGGAGTGTTGAGCAGCAAGTGGGCAAAAGAACGCGTCAGAGAAATTAACCCCCCTAAATATTTTTTAAACAAACATTTAAACTTTAAATATTCCAGCATTATAGGTTGTGATAAAACAATTTTTTATTGCATTTCTCTCATCCTAAATAGTTAAAATGTAGATTTAATGCGGTTACAAATCTTTTGACAAAAAAGAGAAATCAACTGCAAATAGTTGAACGCGGAAATTTAAGAATGCTGTTGACAAAAATGGAACCAAATATAGACAAATTACCAGCATCATACCAAGTACAAACTTCCCATTAATGGTAAATTTTTAATATTTATAAATTTATATTATACTTATTAATTTTGTTATATTTATATTTGATTCTGTATAATTTTCGTTTTGATAAAGTTCGGAGAGAGTTTACTTATAAAGAGAGCTGAATAAAAAATATTTTGAAAAGGGGCAATGAGCTAAAAAAGATACAGGAATTTTCTCACTCAGTTTAGTGCGCTCTATCTACACAAAAGCGGTTGGCAAAAACTTACACCCTGTAAATACGTTATAAAGATTATTCATACGCGAATAATATTTTTTAGTATTA